CCTGTAGTAAATCAGATCTCAGGGGAGTGGTTTTTATGTTTATTATTTTAGACAACATTTAGTGGTATCGCTGGATTGTTAGCATTATATTGAGAGGTATTTCTAACATTTGCCTTCTATGTCGATAAGCTTTATTTTTTTATTTTTTTATTAAAGATAACCCATTACAATATACTGTGACCGATTCTCCATATATTTTGATAGAAATACAAAAATCCAAGTCATATTTAGGATTCTATGCATAGTAGAATATATATTTATATCAGAAAATTGTAAACTATGTTTGGACGCAGTTTTGGATATTTGTTTTGCAAACCTGACCACGAGCAATTTGCATACAGTTTGGGTCATTTCCCTCTTACGGCCCCTACACACGGCGGCGTGCGTTACCGATTGGCGGTGGGCGTGTCTGAAGCTTGGGGATTTTTTTAAGAACAACGCGACCAACAACCAATCACATGAATGTCCCGCCCCGGACATACAAAGCAAAGCATTCATGCTACATCCATGCTGGCTAAATATACTGTCTATGCTTGCTAGCTGTCCATTCAAACGAAGTACACTGGATATAAACTCCCCAAACAGGCGAAAACCTACCAGTGTCACCCACTGTCTCTGCCACCTCCCCCCATGCCTGGCTCCTCCGGTTTGTATCCCTGTATGTAAAGAGGGACTGGTCATATAGTACCGGGTGATTCCCTAACGCCACGATAATTTTCTCCTCCATTTTTTGACATATGGGAAATAACTGCGGTCTGGCTCTCCCAATATACACGCGGTTTGATTGGCTAGCGCTTGTGCTGTCAGATTTGCATACGCGGGATTTGATTGGCTGACGCCTCCGTCGAGGCGGCAAAAGTAGAACATTGCTCTACTTTTGCAGCGAGCACCGCGAGACAAGCTACGCTTTGCTCCCACAATGCAGTTCGGCGAATCGTGACGTCACCCCATTCAAAGTGAATGGGCAGAAGCGTTGAAGCGGCAACGCACGCCGCCGTGTGTAGGGGCCGTTAAGGTGCTTCAGTGGGTCACTGGGCTCTTGTTGTTTTTCAGCAAATTAGCAAGGCCATGCAAGTGGTGTGCCAATACAGCAGTACTTCTGAGATGTAAGCATCTCCACTAAGCCCCACAGGAACAGTCAAATGTGTCCACTCAACTGGTGCAAACTAGATATGGTGATTTAGCAGTTTCTTAGATAAACAAATGTTATACATCCAAGCAAATTCCCTGAAGGTGTACAACTTCTTGACAATAAACCAGATTCTGATTCTAAGGAAAAAGTCAATGTTGTGGTAAAAGGTCAAAATATTAACTTTAATTTACAAACCTCACTAATCAGACTAAACAAGACTCTGGATGTATTTTTTAAATCATCATGTCTTGCTTAAAATGTGACAATTAAATTGTCTTACAATAATATATTGTTAGCAGCCAGTTATAGTTCCAGTGTGTTTTCAAACTGTGTGACTCCTCAAGGGCTGCAGTTTTGGCAGTTATTATGGTCTGGATAATTAGTTAAACCCTTCTTCTAGTCAGTGAAGAGAGCGGAAGAGATAAGAGTAGCTTATGGCGCATTTCCACTGCAGCGGGGTAGCCCCGTTTAAGCGTCCCTAAGCGTCCTCGCTCTGCCTCGCTGGCCGGCCCAGGCCGTGGCGCATTTCCATTACAGTTTAGGACCTGGGGTAGCAACGCAGTGTAGGCGGGGCGATCGGCTTTGTTTTTGTTCACATTTCGAGTTGTTCCGTCGAGCTCCCGCTGGATTTGATCATCCCCAATGAGATGTAGGAACGTCGTCACCTCCTCGGTCGACCACGGTGTGCTTTTCTTATTAGACGTAGCCATTTTTGTAGCTCATCCGTTTACAAAATGCTGTTTATAAAAATGCTGCAAGCTTGCTTCTAGATATATATGCGACGCTAGGGATGAACTCGCGCGCGATCTTGTGACGATTCTCTCTGACCAATCAGCAGTCGAGAGTGTTGACGTCACTAGTTCAGCCCTAGCCCTGGCCTGATAGAACCACGATTTTATGGGGCCGGAAAAGAGGGAAAAAGTACCCGCTAGCCGGTACTAGGCTATATGGAAAGGCCACCAAAAACTGGCCTGGCCGCTTGAGGACGGTTAAGGACGCTTAAACGGGGCTACCCGCTGCAGTGGAAATGCGCCATTAGAGTCTCTCATTAAGTGATTTGACTTCTCAATAAGTGTTTGACTGGGATCTGAGGTGAGCAGCTGACGGTAAACACAGGTTGTGTTTGAGCTTATCGTCTTGGTACTGGTGCTTAATGAGCCAGGACTATGCTGTGACACCTACATTAGCATAAGCAGCTATTGAAAATCCTTCTATTCACTTTCAAATGACTTGAAAAGGTGCTCAACCTGTTCTCTGTTCAGGATTTGAATATGTCTCCCTATCCTCCCCCTCTCCCATTCATCTTCCCCAATACTCCATTCGGCTTTGGAAGTTTTCCCGCGGTCACCCTCTTTAAACAACATCTGCGCTTCAATAGTACTTAGTACTTCAATGACTTGTTTTAGTACTATTTGAGGGTGTTTTTTAAAATATAAACATCAGCATAATTCATAGATGGCCTCCTTTTTTTGCTCATGTTTGCTCAATGGGACACCCAACTTTATTCTTGTATTTTATTGTATTATTTAACAGTTGTGTGAGAGAGCTGCAATGATAAGTTGAATAATCAATGAGTTGCAACCAAAAAAGTATCAACTGTTTTGATGGATGATTTCTTTTAAATGTTCATGCAAAAATGGTGGAAAATGCAGTAAAAAAACCTCCAAAAAGATGGATATTGGCAGCTTTTCTGTGTTTTACATACCTGAATATCGTTTTTTTGTTTACTGACAAAACAAGATATTTACATACATCAGCCTTGGGTTATTATCTTGAATTTCATAAAACAAAGGATGAATCTGGAAAACAACTTTCAGATTAATCAATAAAGTATCACTGTTAGTTGCAGCCCTAATGTAATAAAATAAATCAGGATTCCGTTTTTGTACACATGATTTTTGAGGTTTTGGGTGTACCTGGAATGTGTGAGAGCGGCCTTTCAGACTGTACAGGAGGTTTTTTTGTGGGAGGGTGGGGGTCTTATTGAGTATTATGTCTATGTTGGGAATTTCTGTATGGAGCAGTTATTATAGGTGCGTCGGTCTGACCCAAGATACTCCACTCTGTAAAGGCATTTTTGGATGTGTAGTAACATTGAGTCAGATTGACCTCATTAAATTCCCATGGCTTCCATTGTCTTAGAGACCTTTGACAGGTGTTTCATCTCCCAGGGAAATTGATGATATAGTATCTACCAATCAACAGTATTATTTATTGTCTTATTTTTTTTAAGAGCCAGTTGGTGCTACAGGAGAGTATAATGATGGATTTGTTGATGCACCTTCCAATAGTTCAAGCCCTCCGCGCTAAGTAAAACTGAATCATTTTAATGAAATATTGGAGGTTGTTTTGCCAGGCTTTCTGTGATGATGTGGCTAAGTCTGCACTGCTGTACAGGGCCACATGGGGGCATCATATGTACAGACAACATGATGGCACTTTATAAACATCCAGAGAATTTGATTCGACCACTTCTCCTGGTGTATTTCTATCTGATTATTATCCCATGGATATTATGCCTTTTACTGTAAATATCAGTTATTTTGCAAGGTGTTGGAAATATGATGCAGGCCATTTTGATGTAGGTATTTACGATTTGTAGGCTATACGTTGGTGTTCCTGAAACAGGGTAATTAATCTTGCCGAAAGAGTAGTGTAAACATTAAAATATACACTCTTCAAAATATGGGTAAATGATCCAGAATATGCGTTAAAGTCTATGAAATAAATACTTTTTTTGTATCCAAACCTGTAACATGTTAATATTTACTCTTGCATTGTGGAGAGAGAACACTTTACCCAACACATTGTTTGTACATTATCCTAGTCATTTCCTTACTGTTAAAACACTTTGTTTTGTTATCAAATCAAATCCCATCAATCAGGTTAAGATACTGGTACATTCCTTTGATTATAAAGACTGAGGCATCCATGGGGTTAGGGGCTGACACATAGATATTTAAACAGTAGCTGATTAACGTGCATTGTCCAGCCCAACATCTAGCCCTTCCCCTGTCCTGTTTTCCAGCACTTCTGCGCTTTCCCTTCTCATCCGGTTTCCCCCGGTTTCATCCGCCTTCTCTCTGTTCTCAGACTATTTTATGATAAACGCATCAGCTGAGCGGCAGGTGGGGGCGTTCCTAAATAAATTACGCAAATAGCGTCACTCTCGACCAATCAGGGGCCGGGATCTCGTCGCTGGATAAATTATGCGGGCTTATCCCGAGCTGCAGTTTTTTGTGTGTGTACCTCCGAGATGAGCTGACCTTGAATTGTATTGCTACCGCTGCTGTCGGTGCACCACTCTTAACGGACAGTGTTAGAAGAGCCCGTGTGGATGTGCCTTTACAGACCGAGGAGGTCGAGTCGGGACCAGGTCGGGACACGGGTGTGTTTGTTAGCGGACTGTGAAACATGACCAGCATGAACACTCCCTGCTTCACCGTGGCTATGGATCTAGGCGTCTGCCAGCTGAGAAATGTTTCCATATCTTTTCTGTCGTCGTTATTGAGCGCAGAGAGCTCACACGTCAAACTCGACAATGGGTAAAATACATACTATGTGTTACATATGGAGCACTTTAGTTCCCGCAGAGCTGCCTGTGTGTTCAGGGCTCTCGGTCGGTAATGTATGTGTGATGGAGGAGGGATGCTACAGTATTGTTACACCCAGAGACCACACTGCCATAAACGCTTTCCAGGACATCAGGAATTGTCCCGTTGATTTTATAGACATTTCCAGAAGCTTCCAGTAACGACCCACATTTCTAGCAAGAGCAAAGGAAAGGCTGCGGCTCTAAATCCTTTTGTATTAATGTTACACTATATAGCAGTCTGTTTTAAAACATTTCCCTTTTCTTTTTTTGCAGTTCCTCGGGGGCCAGTGTTGTGGCCATAGACAACAAGATTGAACAAGCAATGGTGAGTTTCAACTTCTTCCCTTTTGCTTGGTGGAAAATGTTATTGTTATATATACTTCATACTGAGTGGGTGTTTACAAATATTAGTTAACAAGAAAATATAGGCTATTTAAGGATTTGCATTGTGATGAGATGCAGTTGAAACAGTGAGTTTATTCATTTAAAACCTTAGTGACAAAATAAAAAAAGGACTAAGGTTTACTGTGGAGTGAAATTAGTGTAACTTTGGATTGTACTGTAATAACCACTCCATAAATAACTGTAAAGATATGATGTCTTCAAAAAAACTGTTCATGCTAATGCTAATGTCGAAGTATTAAAGTAGCTAACAATACCTGAAACGACCGGCTGTTCCCGACTTGAGACAAAGTCACGAACGTGTTATTAAAGTTTATTTTTCATTTCTTTATCGCACTACATGTCTTTGCTAAACTATGATAATATTTTTTTTCATTAAAAAAAATCTTAGTTTTATTTTCTGTTTCCCTTTGTTGTTGTCGCTGCTGTCGGCTCTGTTGCTAGGCAAACTGTAAGGCTCTCATGCCTGCTTAAATATATCTCGGCCTCTGATTGGCCCCCATGTAAATGTGGGCAGGGTTAATGACGTGGCACCATTGAATATACTCAATTTCTCTTCTGCAATAGTAGCGAGATTGTGTTTTATGTGACATCACATTTAAATATATTTTCCCACTTACTACACGTAATTATTTAATATCATAATTTTTTCAGCACTTAATCACATTATAAATTGTTGATTTTTAAGTTATTCTTCATTCTTATCGGAAGAAAACGGTTTCATATTATAGTAGGTTACAAGGCAAGGGAATGCCACAATATTTAAAGTGTAATATTCTTACACGTGTAAGTGATATAGGATACAGGATTTGTCCAAAAATGTTTAGTTGTCATATGTAGGATTATTTAAATAACATTTCTTAAACATACACATGTATGACATAAACGCAATATATTGAACAGCATTTTATGTGTACTTCATTGTCATATAAGAGCAGTTGGCCGGGGCCAGCACCCCAGGTGGGATAGCCTGATATTCAGTTGTTATTTAAGTGACTTTACATGACAGAAATGAGATATTAAACATCAAGAATGGGCCACAGGTTGGTTAAGATGATTGCTTAACTCTTCTTTAAGTCAATAAGTTGTTTTATTTCAGCCATTAATCCATATCTCTTTGTGTCTCAGGACCTGGTGAAGAGTCACCTGATGTACGCCGTGCGTGAGGAGGTGGAGGTCCTGAAGGAGCAGATCAAGGAGCTGATCGACCGTAACTCCCAGTTGGAGCAGGAGAACACCCTGTTGAAGACCCTAGCCAGCCCTGAGCAGATGGCCCAGTTCCAGGCGCAGGTTCAGACCGGCTCCCCGCCCGCGCCTCCAACAGCGGCAACACCGGGACCCCCAAACACCACCCAACTCACCCAGCCCAACTCGCACAGCTCTGGCCCGTCGGCGTAGCATGGTCTGCACAGACTGACGGACTAACTGAATCGTTTTTCAGTTCTGCTACAGCAGCAGAGCTAAGCCTTGCCTTCTGCAGCAGGAGGCTACGCTGTCAAGGCAAGAATTTGCACATATTTATCTCTCAGAAGGATGCAGCCAGCGGGACGAGCAGCGCAGTGCTTTACAACATGGCGGTGGAGTGGGACAATTTCGAAATGCTGTGTGGGGGGCGGTTGGTTTCGGGGGAGGATTCAATCATCAGAACATTTGCCAAAAAACCCTTGGACATATCAATGAGAATGTCTTACCAAGAAGAAACAAAACTGCTTATCAGTGGCGATAATACCCTTAGCTATAGATTAAAAAAAAATCACTGTCTGGATTTTAGTGATGTCGATTTGACTGATGGTGGCGATGGAAGAGTACGAGGTAGAGGATTGTATTACCTTTTTGCTGAATGATGTAAATTAAAAAGTGGTTCCCTCTCAAGGCTATATCCTAAAGTTACAGGCTGAGATATTCGAGAGAAAGATAAAAAGGCCTTCAGAGTGACAAATGAGGAATGTGAGCAATTATTAAGACAAAGTCCCCATCTGGAATGGGGGAGGGGTGGGAGGGTGTTTTGAACAATACATGGCAGCATTGATGACGTTACTTCAAATGTGGGTTGCTGGGATGAACAAACGGTGGTTTCTTATGGAGGAGGTGATATTCTATTTCAGTATTTCACTTTCAAGCTCCTCATTTTGCCCTAGACAAAGCTCATCATTGCTGTTCTCTCAACCCTGCAGTGGCATGTCATTTAAACCTTATTCAACAGGGTTGAGACATTGGGCTTAGCTGCATTTTCTCTTTTTCCTAAAAGTTTGATGGGCAGAAGAAGATGTATATTTCTGTATAGTGTAAGTACCATGTAAAATAGGGAGGAGAAGGAGAGAAACAGAGGTTATCTTGGTCACACAGATTGAAACGGGTGAGCGAGGAACGTCTATTTTTAATGCTGTATTTTCAAGACTGGGTGGACAGGAGTTTAGGTTATTTAACTTACAACACAACAGCCAACAATGTTATCCATATCCCTTACTGCAACAATAACTTAATGTAAAATCATTTTTCCTTCTGGCGTATTGCACTTTTCTTTGACTGAAGTATTTTTGGATGAACAATATCTTAAAACTCAACATAAAACACTTTTTTTCATAACATTCTGTGTATCAGTTGTATGCTCATGTTCTGTGCATGTTTCTGCAAAAAACCGGATAAGATATAGTAACATAAATACCACAATTGCACTTGACAGTTGCACATCACAACTTTCAATAAACTGCTTAAGGAAGAATAATCACCTGGGTCAGCTTCTCTTTCTTATTCGTCCTCCTGAGCTCAGTCTGCTGGATGCTGACCGGCCATTTGTCGTGTCACGCTTCTTCCTGTATGCTTGCTGTGTTGCTGAAGTCCTCTGCTTCTAGCTGTCATTGAATCACTGCCAGCTATGTTGTAGAACTCTCTTGTTAGCAGTCAGATAAAAGCTATGACCAAGAGGCGTTTTGGTTCAAACTGCTCATGGATGGCCCTCTGATTTTTGACCAAAAATATGCTATACATGTGTTATTCTTTCCTTGGAAATGTCCGTATAATTTGGCACCACCTAAAATGAGACAATATTATTTTCTTACATTCACTTTAATAACATATGCTGTATGGAGGATAGGAATTAATAAACGATTGATGAATATATGTGTGCTTCAGTTTGAATGGAGTTGTTCCCTAAAAGGAAATACTCTCAACAGACACAACTGCTATTCAAGTTAAACAACAAGCTAAACCAAGGACACTATTTCCTTATCCATAGGCCACTTTTGAAAAAGGATAGGATGCTGGGTCATCTTATATTGATAATAATGAATGAACGAATTCTAAGATGTCTATAACTCATCTTTAACTATGATTTAAGGCCATTCTTGGCTTAGTCCGGACCTCTAATGGAGTGTCATTCCACCATGTCCTGGCTCCAGGATGGTGGAATGAGCTCCCCATTGACATCAGGACGGCAGATAGCTTGCACATCTTCCGGCGCAAACTGAAAACTCATCTCTTTCGACTCCACTTCGAGCGATAGAACTATTAACGAAGCACTTTTATACTAATAAAGGGCTGGCTTATCTAAAGCCAGTTGAGTAGCACTTGAAATGTTTTTGCTCTATGAGGCCTGATGTACTTATATGATTCTGTTTTCTTCAAGTTGTATTTTGTTGGTCGAACGCACTTATTGTAAGTCGCTTTGGATAAAAGCGTCAGCTAAATGCAATGTAATGTGTCTGGGGGTCCTTCACGATACAATATATCCTGGGGCTGCTGCTTAGTCATGCATATTGTATGGACAAGTACAAGGCTTAGATAAAAATGTCATAAAGGTTGATGCGTTTAAAACTTTGCAGACATACAATGAATGTAACTTTTAGTAAGTTGGCTACTTTATTTGATTAGTTATTCTACAGGGTGTAAATACCCTTAATACAATCCAAGCAAAATGGTGTGTGTGCACTGATAAACACAGGGACTTGGATGAAAGAAGTACAACTTGTTCCTGGCATTTATTTGAAAAAATATTATTTTCACACTGCACAGACATATACTTGAATGGACAGATATGGCACATATCAGCAGGATTCAATGGCTGCACACACTCTCACGTCAACAGTCAAAACTTCATACACACACACAAGTGCCAAGTGAGTAATGAGACACACATGTTCTCCAGCCGGCGTGGTTTGAGACTGTCCATAGAAAAGTTGTCAGTACCACAGACTGCAACACTGTAAACACTTATCGGGGGGGGGAGGGATGTCCCCAGGATGGGCGGCAGGATGGGGAGGCTTCTCTCTATGAGGGCTGTAGCGTCAGTCTGCGTGGTCTCTGGGTGGGGGAGCAGGCTAGCCAGGCTCAGTGAGAGTGTGGGGGTGAGGATACGGATGCTTCTTCTGCGTCACATCCCCATACGGATGCTCTGGATGATCTGAAATATGGCTGAGAGACAACCAAAATACAGTCAGCGCTGTCAAAACCCCGCAATTCTATGGATATTTTTCACAGAGAAACATCAGTAAAGGAAAACATAGCTGAACTCAATTCAGCTGCATCAGTTTCAGGGTGCTGGTATAGTTATTGCTCAATGTAATGTTATTGACACTACTCTAGTTTGCTATATTATGATTTGAATCCACCAGCATATGAACATATCTTATTGATGTTTACATAATTAACCAGCGATTTTCTCACTCCCAACTCTTGGGCCTAGGCGTTTAACTCCCTGAACCCCTCAATGCTGACACTGTTATTATGACAGGATTAGGGAAGGAAGTCAGGGTGGTTGGAATTAACAATACACAGGACTCTAAACCAGTGGGCTGCCAATAGTCAATTTTTATCTTTTTAATTGACAAAAGTTAATTTAAGTAATGTGAATACTTGTGTCCCATACGTAGCTTGAGTTACTAAACAAACATACTTATTTGAACACACACCAATATTTTTTTCCTAACACTAATCAAGTAGTCACAACGATATCCATGTGTAGAAGTCTATTGGACTACCCTGCACGTTGAAAAATGACACTAAAGGATTTAAATGTGTATTAAAAAGTGAAGCCAAGGGGTCCTAACCAATCGTTCGGAGTGAGAACTTGTTGAATCCACGACTATATTAGCTATACTAATTTACTTCATTGCACAAACAGACCCTTTCTTTTGTAAGAAACAAAAGTGCATACCTGATCCACACACAACAAATACAAAGAGGGCAAGCAGCCAGGGACCCACAGGATACTTCTCCTCTTGTGGTCGCTATGGAAAACACACACACATATATCCTTAGTGTATCAGCATTTCAACAGAAATGTGACAGATGCTGCAGAGCGAAAGTAAAATAGCTTTACATGGATAGATTTACAAAAGGGATTCCATTTCCATCCCGCTCAGGTAGTTGTTGCTGCTGCTTTTTGCCTGGTCACCCTTTGTCCTCAAAACCTGCCACAGATGATCGGGTTTGTTGTGCTGCTCACCAAAATGACCACAATAACAACTTTGTGGTTACACTGAACACAGCTGAGTGTCTAATTATACCCTGAGAGGTGCTGAGTTAGTGTTTTTTGATGAGTGGGACAGAATGAGTCAGTCAGTCAGTCTAGACAGATTTAGGGAGAAACCATCAGCCTCCAACAGATGATTTCATCAGTTTGGAAGTGTTAGAGGGTTGTCTGCTTTTGGTGATGGAAGTTGTTACTGTCAGTTAACGATTCTGGAGGGAAACAGAGCCTGAGCAGCCTCAATGTTTGACCTTTAAGCTGCTGTTTAAATTACATTGAGTGACAGAGGAAGAGGAGGATAATACATAATTGTCACATTGTCAGACTGCAATGGCTGGGCTGTTAGCAAGAGTCTTAAAGGGTTGAAGAAGCCTTTATTTTTCACTGCTAATTATGGCTAAATTAACTGAATACAACCGCCTTTTAAATAATATGTGGATAGCAAAAAAAGGTGATTTGTTTATTGTTGATTGGAAAAGAGATATATCATGGCAAAGAGAATAAGTGGAAGAGTCTTCATCAGTATTTCTTGACCTTGGAAACTATGAGATCAGATACTAAATGGACATTGTGGTGAGTTTATTTTGTCAACTGCTGTTTCCAAGGTCAACAATGAACCTTGAAATAGTTTCAGCCAACATGGATGAGAGGCCCTCAGAAGAGTGGAAACTAATGTCTGCAAATCCATCAGCTTACAAATGTGATACAATCAAAAGTATGATTGTTTTGTCAACTGTCACAAAGTAGTGGTAAAATCACAAATCCACCAGAGCAAAAGGTGATGTCTTCAAATCACAGTAAAGATATTCAGTTTACAATAAACAGATAATCAGCTAATAATCACATTTGAGAAGCTACAACCAGTAAATAGGCAAACTGATAAATGACTCAAATGATGAACACATTCATTTAATCTCAAATCAATAATTGATTTATCGATCAGATTATTGTTTGTAATGTTTACCAGATAAAACATAACGCCTCGGTATGCTAACTAGTCACTACACATTTATATCCTAATCATAAATGAAACTACAGCCAGTAAATCCAAACATCTGATGCTGTCTTTAGACTCAGACATATGCCTGGTCATTTATCTTTCGATTAATTAATAGTTTTTTTTATTACATGTCCCAAAATACACTTAATTTGCCATAACATGAACATTTGGTACACTAAAACTATCACACAATTACATTTGAGATGTGATGTATTGTAATGTCAGCTTTAAATATTGATTGGACTCATTTACTGATATATTTTTGGGGGTTTCACCTGGGTAATGCTTTAAAAAGTGCTTCATATCACCACCAACATTTTTGGCATGTATTACAAAAATCAACCAGCAGCACTGACCTAGCTATATCCGAGCCTACATTACATAACCTGCACATGTTTTATTATCATCATTTCACACAAAAAATAAAAATAACGTCAAGTGACACTGCGGAGGGCGGTGAGCATAAATAAGATGTTTAATGATGAAGCAGCTCAGCCTGGTGGGTCATAATGTATCAGATAGGACCAAGATGTGTTGCTGTATGACATATGTGTGATAAGCAGGAGGACACACTTCACCACCACCACCACCCCCCTCATCATGCTGCTTCCATACCGGAGAGAACGTCACCTATCTGGGCTAATGTCATGCTGGCACTTCGCTGCTTTCAGTTAGCGGCTCACCAGCGTCTTGGCCACGTTTCCTCTCTGCGTGATGTTCTTGCTGTGTTTCTCGTTGGCCATGCGGATCCTCTGTTTAGCCACCATCTTCCGGCACGATTATAAAACCCAGGATAAATTAGTCTGCTTTATTTTTCTGAAGCTGCAGGCTTTCGACAGCACCCCTGCATCAAGCTAGGAGACCCCTGACACTTTAACACCGGAAACTGGATGTAATTAATTTCAGAATACGAGCATGGGATTTTAGAGGAACAATGTTCGCATTTTAAGAGGAGGTATGGAGAGACATTTTGTATTTTACATCAACAGAAAGTGGGGTTTTACTCTCTTAAGTGTGTTCTGAGTTCTCAAAACAACTTAAATGTAATATTTGTATTTTAACCTTTTATTCTGAAGGTCCTCACAGGAACTAACTTGCTTCATTCTGGTTTTCTTCACGCGGCTCCTCTTTGCACCTCGTGAAGATGATCCAGAGGCGCGCTCCACAATTGATAATGGATTTAATTGATAACGTTCAGAAGCGGAGAAAGAAAAAGTATTTATGTAATTATCACATGTTCTACAAAATAAACAAGCAGAGATCAAGAAGGTCTGTAGTATATATAATAAGATTCCTGCAAATTCATATTTACAGCAGTAGCCTACCAAAAACCGGCTAAGATATTCATTCAAAAATATATACATTTAAATAAACGAGATGTACAAATATATTTGTGCAATTCCGAATGATGAGCCTTGTGATACATTTGTGTATGTTTATTTGTTATTTGCATGATTTCTGCTCTTCATAGAGCAATACAAAAACATCCAATTAGACTAATTGTCTTTCTATGAGTAAAACACAACAAAAAGACAAACAAAGACAATAAGTCACAATAGTGATAGCAGTAGAGACACAACCTTAGTTCTGATTGAATAGTATAGCCATTAAGTAAACCCACCTGTACAGTAGCTGAAGTAAATACAATCCTGCTTGGATAATCAGCACAACAAACGTTATGTAAAGTTAAATCAACCCATCTCTAAACCAACCAAGCCTGAACTTTTAACGTTTATGAAGGCAGGATTAATAGTAGGACAGTGAAATGGTGCTCTGAATAAGACTGAGTTATTGATCCTTTAGAATACACGGGTGCACCTCCCACTGTTAAAGGTCACCTATTATGCAAAATGTATTCCACTTGTGTATGTATTTTATACATCAACATGTGTCCCCTCTGTGTGAAGATATTCTGAAAGTTTCAGGAAAAAAGATTAGCTCACTTTTTGTCCTGATCCATTTATATAAAAACCTGTCTGAAAATGAGCTGATCAGATTTTGAAGTCATAACGATTTTTTGGCTTGTCTAACGCAGTGATTATCAAATGGGGGTACGCGGACCCCTGGGGTACGTTGGGCTGCAGGGGGTACGTGAAATAAAATAAAATAAAAAATAAAGGTTAATTAAAAAAATAATCTTAGTAAAATAAGTTAAATAGAAAACACAATTTTATATAAAACATTCCTAGAACCACCAAGGGGGTCCTCATATAAACATGTCAAATGTGTGTATTGTATTTTATAGTTTTTCACAATAACATATTACTTAAATTGAAAAACTCCTTGGAAAAATCTGTTTTATAAAAGTGTTATGTTATTTTTTTTCATGCATAAAATGAAAATATCCTTAGTTTGTTGTAATGCATACCACGAAGGAGTTAATACATCACACACTGAGGGAACATCACTATATTGTAGTTATTTATATAGGCTTTTTCGATCAAAAATGTTCGGGATCGGTCAGGGGGTACTTGGCTGAGAAAATGTTTCAAAGGGGGTACATTACTGAAAAAAGTTTGAGAAGCACTGGTCTAACGCATTAGCTAATAACCAACCAAGGTAACCATTTATATTCTAAACTCAGGCTAACGGGGTGGATGACGCCTCAGCTTTACCCAGTATGATGTGCACATGTTTTTATATCAGTAACGGCTGACTTACATCATTCATCACTCCGTCCAACAAGTCATCAAGCCGGCTGCTCGGAGAGAAAGGAGGGCAGAGAGAGAGAAAGCAGAGGTTGCCTAGCAACTGCATCAAAGGGTTTGCTTGGGGAGTGAAAGTCCAGCAACGGAGAGAAGAAGAAATGTCCAACTCCTCTAAACAGCCAACTTATAATTAAGTGTGATTAAAATGCGGCAGGCCAGTTTCTCTGCTATATGTGCAACAGAAGGATTCCTTTGGCTGTATCAGTGACTGATCGTTTGATGTCTTACATCAATGATAAATTACAAGACGTCATACACCTGTACTACCAGAGCATGCCGGGATAGAAAATACATGGAAAGGATCCCCTACATTCACAGCAGACTCAAATAAATCTACAATTTAATAGTTTTATTAAAGAAATAGTTTGACATTTTTGGGAATATTTTCTTGTCACAGTTTAGGATGAGAGGATTAATATTTATCTCACGTAAATTAAAGGAGTATTTTATCCAAAATAACGACAATTTGTATATCAACAGTTATGATGTGCTACCTTGAAATGTTGAATTTGTTATATGTTTTGCTGATGTTAAACAAGACCTTTCTTATTTTTGTTTTATTCTGTGTTCCTTGTGAAAGCATGTGAGAGAAATACAAGTTTTCTTCAAGTATTTAAGGTAACACGATGCGAATAATTGATAAATGTTTTGATTTTGGGGAGTTTAGAGCCAGAATGGTTTTAGCTTGGACTGTAAGAGGGCAGAAACCAAGATCTTCCCCACTTATACACACCCACACATGTGTATATTGCCTGGTATACATTTAGCCAAATTCTCTCAGCGCTGTGGTTTGCTTTTCCGGACTCCTTCCAAATGGTTATTTACAAGTTCCCTTTAAACTCATGATGTTTTCCATCAAGGTTAAGAAAATATCCTCTGCAAAGGAGGAAGGACATGTTTTTCGTAGTATTAAAAACAACCCATTCATGTCAAAATGGCCTTGAAATCGAATGCGAACAAGACGTTATAAACAATCAAGGATGTGGGCAATGCTCGTGTTGAATGCAAAGACACAAACAAAGCTAAATGTGAAACAAAACGTAAAATACAGACATGAAGAAGCTCTTTTTCTCTTGTGTTTTACATTGACACATGGAGATATGAGAAAATGCCAGTGATATGTACATATGTACAGAGGGACATATCTTGAAATCAGACAAAATGAGAGAGTTTGCATCTGCCTTGCCCTTGGATGATAATTATGCAAAAAAGTCACCTTAACATGAACACACGCAACAGCTGTAGCAGCCTTTAACTGGGGAAATACCTGCAAGCTCATCCTTGAATCCAGACAAACACTTTTAGGAAAAGGATGTGAAATAAGGACAACACACAGGAGGTAACGTGAAGTGAGCGTCTCCTGTGGTGCAAAGCTTCCCATTTATAAAGCCATTTGTCAGAAACACCACCCACAGCAGGATCTATTTTCAGATTGAGGATATATGACCTACATTCTGCCTTTTTTTTAACCCGCTCCCCTAATTACAGCCAAAACACACCATGTAGGGGAGAAACATGTAGTTGAACCACCTCTCGAGAGAAGGGAAAACAGTAGTTAACGCTAGCAAAATAAACCTGACATGCGAGGTGAATTTAAGTAAAGAGAGACGAGGGTGGAGGGAAGGAAGTGTTTGATGTTTTCTGCATGTGAGGGTGTGATATGAACAAAATAATCTCTGTATGAAAACATACAGGCGGGTCGCTGGGTTGAAACCAAGCGGCAAACTGTGGGGTAGAGCCGGGAAGCCAATACGGAAGTGCCACACACTGCAGTTCATATATTGGCCGATAGGCGATGGCTGCAGAAAGGAGCAATTTCCATAGACCCCCATGTTAAAATGCCCGATTTTACAGCAGAAAAAAACATGTTTCTACCCCTGGCTCCATACATTTTATTATCGATATAGTTAGATTCCACCTTCATGATTATGGATCTGTGAGTGAATTGTTTTCTAACGCGACCCTTTATATTTATATTAGGTCTTAAAGTTTGTGCATACATTAGGGCGTGGTCACTTTGATTGACAGATACGTGCCTCACTGTCAGCTAACAGCAACTTGTCCAATCTGCTAGGCTACAACCATAGAGGCTACAACGTTAGTTAGTTGTAGTTACTGTACTTGATCCTTTAGCTGTGTTCGTGGTGATCGTGCCTGTTAGGGAATATTGTTACAAATACCAGATAATTAAAATGTCGTGCTGTGCGCTTGAATGTACTAACAGATCTTCCAAGAAGTCTACTTTCAGCTTTTTTCGGTGAGTAAAATGATAATATTATACATGTTAACCCCGTTAGCAGGTGTTTGTGTGCTTGTTAGCTTAGCCTGTTATGTAGCTTATTAGCCAGCTAAGGACGTAACCCTTTATACATATATACAGTTTAGTTTATGATTCAGCCTTGGGTAAGACTTTTATACTATATGGCTATGACGCCCATAATGCTAAACGGGAGCAAATGTTAAAAGGGGTGGGCCGCCGGAGTCCACGCCGCCGAAGCTAACGGGGCTGCAGGGTGCTAGCTCGCTAGCGCGTCCCGGCGGACGTAGCTAGCACCCTGGGGCTCCGTTAGCTTCGGCCAGCGGCGGAGTCCGGCATTATAACTGGAGATCAAGGAATGCATCGTAACGCGGACTTGGTTCGCCTGCAGCCCGCTGTAGTATTAGCTAAATAAATGATGTTGAGCAAGGCTTATTAAGCTGAACACCGCCACAATTATTCTGCTATGTATCGGTACTTATTTTATTTTATTAACGTGTGAATGACAAGCATTAAGAATAATACCAAATAGCTAATTATCTTGCAGATTGTCTCGTTTGATTATGAATGTAACGTTTATATAGTGGAACTACACTGTTTTATCAAAACCAAAGTGCCACGCAGTGACTTGGTATGCATGTATTTCAGCAGGAAATGTGCAACCTAGATGACATTTACCAACACAGACTATATAGAAATATTTGTAAAAGTTGTTCATGCGTTACTAAGTGAATATGGCATTAACCCTCCTGTTGTCTTCGGGTCAAATCTGACCGATTTACTACTTTCATCAATCATGTTTTACATTCGATTGATACTGAGAGCATGTTAGCTTAGCTTCTTAGCCTGAGCTAGGACTCGAACGTCACGC